CAGCTGGCGTTTAACCCCGCGATCGCCAGTCTCTTTCCTCCACAACAGGAGGCTGCGGTGCAAGCCTTGCAAGGAGGGAGGGAAGACCCGGGGGGTGGTGGAAGCAAAGTGGAATCCTAGGGGAAGCCCCCCCCCCGGGCTTTAAGGCGGCTTGACTCCCAGGGAGCAGAGAGAGATCTCTCGCCCTGGCGCTCCGGGGAGAGAAGCCACTCTTGCGCTGTCCGGGACTTCGAAGCAGGCGCCCTCCCCCCGCGGGTCTTCCTCCCGAGGAGCCCTCAACTACGCACAGGATCGGGGTAGTTTATGAACAAGGTTTTTTTAAAAATGGCGCAGCTTAAGGGCCGGATCCCTGCCGCGTCTGCTCTTAAAAGTCAGGCTGCGCAATTTTTAGGAGTCTAAAATCACTGGTTACTCAGATGTTTTTGGACTGCAACTCCCAGAAGCCTTCACCACCAGTTGTGCTGGCTGGGGTTTCTGGGAGTTGTAGTTCAAAAACACCTGAGTAACAAAGGTTAAGAACCACTGGTCTAAATGATCCGCGGGGGCATTTAAACTCCTATATTGGTTGCTAGGGCCGAGGAGGACAAGGATTCACTCCCGAGTAAACACGTTTTGGATTGCCCTGCGCCGTCTTGGGCCGGACGACCTGTCAGATGGAAACGGCAGGGCACTCTCCCTTGAATCTGAGATGTAAAGCCACGAAATTTGGGAGCTTTCGTTCACCCTGGTGTATCAGCCGAATTTAACCCTGGCATTTGCCAACTGGAAAAAAAAACTTCTGTTTTCTAGACTCTCCTGGGCACCCTGCTACTGATCCTGTGTTTCTCCCAAGGCTGGTGGGGAAATGCACCTAATAAGCATAGTTTTCGAAGTTGCAGCCCTGTTAGCCAGAGCAGGTGGGTTGCCACAAGAAACACAGAGCAAGACCACACGCCAACGAAACCAAGTGGCACCTTAAAGACTGACTGCTAAGTTTTAATGTAAGCTTTCATGGAACAGGATCCGATTCTTTGGAAGTATGAGCTAGAATGCAGAGACTCCATGCCAAAACTCTACGCATGCAAGGCTCTAAGTCTAAGATAAAGGGACAGGGGTGTTTGGCCGCAGTTCACCGCTAGTAATGATGTGTTCAGTATTCCCTTCTTTTGAAGCCTATTTCTTTAACATTAACAGTCATTAAAGGAAACAACAGAACATGGGGTCAGGTAGAGAAAATCAACCTGTGTGTTTGAACCTCTTTCTGAAAAGGTGGGTCTGGTTAGTTGGGAAGGAAAATGATAACAGACATGTTACAATGTACAGATTACAATATGTTAGAATAACAGATAACCACATAATTACATTTGGCTAAGAAACCTTGGCTAATATTTAATCCATTGAGCTGGGTGTCTAGCCTGTGTATGTGGGCATTGTTGGCAGAAGATGGAATAGATCACATTTCACTCCCAAGCACCTGTTGGCAGGACTGTAGTTGCTTGCAGACAATCACACAATCTCAATATGTATTCTATCTCAGACGTTTCCCTCTGGATTTTTGTTCTGAAGTTTTTCTTCTCCAAAACAGCATCTTTTGAAGAGAGTCCTGTTACACTGAAGTGCAGATAAGTTTTTGTGTATTGCAATTTCCGATGTCCGATTTATACCCATTAATATTTTTTTTTGTGCAGATTGTCCTATTTGTTCCATGTAGAGTGCAGAGGGGCGTTGTTGGTAAAAGGTGGCATAGGTCATATTAGCAGAGGAACAAGTTAAAGTACCCTTGATGTTGTGTGTGTGAGACCATGTTTGGTGATTGTGCTGCCAGAGTAGGGGCAGAGCTGGCAATCTGGTTTTGTGACAAAGTATAATCTCCATCACTGTATTAGTGTTGTGTAACTTGTGTATGAATAGTTGCATGAGATTGTGACTGTCTTTAAGTGAGTATAGGCCTGCCACCAAGTGCTTGGGAGAGTGAGGTGTGAACTGTTTTCGGTGCAGAAGAATTAATGGACATAAATCAGACATCAGAAATTTCAATGCACAGAAACCTATCTCAAGTCACTTCAGTCTACCTCAAGATGTGAACGTTGTTATTCTTAACAAGGAAAACTACAAAAAAAGTCCAAAGGGAAACAGCCGGGATAAAATATATACATAGATGTAATACCCATCTCAACAGATTAAATAGTGAAAGCTTCTTCAGTCATTACCAAATGTAATAATTATGTTGTTGCATATTTCAGCTTGCAAGGTTGGGAAAGGAGATAGACTATGATAGAATATAATCCTCAGGGCTCATGTGCAACAGAGGTATGCAGTCCAACCTGGTTCAGGCAGCTAGGTGTGGGGAAATCACCTGCTATTCTTCAGGATTCCTTTATCTCATAAAACATATTTTTCCCTTGAAAAAGCCCTCTCTAGGGGCCAAACAAATTATTTTTTAAAAAATTAAATATGGTAGCTGCAGGAAAGACCTACTGTAAAACATGGGAAAACTGACTTCCATTCCTCCACAGAGCATAAGGGGACGTTGAACCAATATTTTTTCTAAAGATTTTTTTTAAAGAACGTGCTGGTGAATCACATGGCCATCTTGCCCCTCTGCTACTTAATCTTGTGCACTCTAGAAAAACCAGAGGGGAACCGATTTCTATTTAAAACCTACGCTTCAAGACAGGAAAAAAAACAGCCTAAGTGTGTATAACAAATTGTGTTCCAGCAAGTCACTTTCAGTGTACGGCAACCCCTCTGGGGTTTCATGGGGAAAAAGTACTCAGAAGTGGTTTACTTCCTTCTGGTGGTGCTTTGAAACTGCCATACAGCTTTCCCAAGGCTGCCCAGGGGGGGCACAGCGCAGAACCCCTTCAGCCACATGCTCTGGACAATCTTGGCTGGCACCTCTCCCAGGATGCATAGCAGGGATTCACTCTCCCAGCCCTGGCTCCTTGTCCAGTTGCTGCAATGCACTGATCTGTCCCATTGGTCATGTACGTGCATGGCCCCTTTTGTGTCAAGAGGGGAGACAGGGGGAAATACTTCTAACGCTCCATCATTTATCCTATGTGTCCAAGAACAGCAAACAGACGGAATCTGTTTGAGACTGCAGCCAAGAAGTCAGAAGATGCCTGAGGCTAGGAAGGGCAGCAATGAAGTAGCTGGAAAAGATGGTCCCCAAGGAATCAGAAGACACCTGAGGCTAGGAAGGGCAGCAATGAAGGAAATGGAAGAGATGGTCAAGTGTCAGGATGTGTCACTGGAGACTAAGGCCAAAATCATCCACACTCTTGTATTTACGATCCTCATGCACAGGCGTGAAAAATGGACAGTAGAGAAAGCCGACAGGGGGAAATACTTCTAACGCTCCATCATTTATCCTATGTGTCCAAGAACAGCAAACTGACGAAATCAGTTTGAGACTGCAGCCAAGGAATCAGAAGACACCTGAGGCTAGGAAGGGCAGCAATGAAGGAAATGGAAGAGATGGTCAAGTGTCAGGATGTGTCACTGGAGACTAAGGCCAAAATCATCCACACTCTTGTATTTCCAATCCTCATGCACGGGCGTGAAAGATGGACAGTAGAGAAAGCTGACAGAAAAAGAACTGATTAATTTGGAATGTGGTGTGGGTAGAGAGCTTTCTGGATACCCTGGACTGTCACAAAGACAAACAAGTGGGGCCTAGATCAAATCAAGCCTGAAATATTTCTACAGGCAAAAACAGGCTGTCCTGCTATGAGTACATCATGAGAAGACAGGATTCCCTGGAAAAGACGATCATGCTTGGAAAGGCTGAAGGCAGCAGGAAAGAAATAGACCACATATGAGAGGGGCTGAGTCCCTAAAGGAGTCTGCAGGCGCATAGCAGGGCTGTTGACGACAGGATATTTTGGAGATTGCTCATTCATAGGGTTGCCATAAGTCGGAAGTGACTTGCCAACACATAACAACAAAGCAGTGAAAGATGCAGATGAGAATCCACCTTCCTTCACTAGGTGTGTGTAAGTATCTTCACATGTTTATTTTAACCCAGATTAATAAAACTGCTTCTAGCGAAAATCCTCATGTTCATTTTATTTTTGTTTAAGATCAACACAGGTTTTAGCAGCAAATTGCTGCCCATTAACGAGGTGTTAGTTATATCGCTGGTGATGTGACGGGGACAAAACCACCACCTGAATGACAGCAGACTGTCATATTGAAAACTTTCCTTAATGAAAGCTTAAAGAGCAACCCAATTCTACAGTGTTCAAAGTTAGTACCGGCACATCCTATGGAATAACCGGTGGCAGACAAAATCTGTAGGAGCTGGTGTGTCACAATTGCAGGGAGCATGAGGAATGAGGTAAGGATGTTTCACTCGAGATGAAGCCAGGATTACCCACACTATTGCACTCCTAAACACTCCAAACTGATGGGAAAGCTGAGCAGCGAAGAAAGCTGACAGGATAAAAAAAATGATTCATTCACTCTATGGTGCTGGGGGAGAGCTTTACGGGGACTGTGGGCTACCAGAAAGATAAATCCTAGATCAGATTGAGTCTGAACTCTCTCTCTCTCTTGGAGGCAAAAATGATGAGCCTGTTGTACTTTCAAGAGAAGACTCGCTGGAAAAGACAATAATGCTAGGAAAAGTTGAAGGCAGCAGGAAAAGGGGAACATGGACTCCATAAAGGAAGCCAAAAGTGCAAGACCTGACCAGGGCTGTTAATGACAGCACATTCTGGAGGTCACTCATTCATAGGGCTGCCATAAATCAGAGGTAACTTGAGGGAATGTAACAACACCATTGGGAAAGAGATAATTGTTTATTCTTGTTGCAGTAACTCTATATCTCACCTAGACTACTACTGTGTTCCTGACAGAAGGGACTTGATCCATTCTTAGGGATATAGATGTTTGCTGCCGGGCACTGTTTGATTTCCACCTGGACACCTTACTCTAATGTAGAATTCCATAAAAGATCCTTTTGCAGATGTTCAGATGACCCTTACTGGCCAGGTATTTGGAGAAGCAGATCCAGGTAATTCAGCAGGGGGATTCCCACAGACTGTTCACCGGAGGCAAAAACAAGAAATTGTCACAGACCTGTCTGGCCCAAAAGTTCCACAGGGTAGAATATAAATCGAAATGCTACATTTATGATATTAAGCTTCTATGTCATTGCTTCTAATTTTGTCTATACCATTCACTCAATGATGTCATTCCAGAACCTGGTCTTCTCAGATTATTTTCAAGCATCTTGTGTTATGTGGCAGCTATGCCTTAAAAACAGCTTTAAAACACCTCTGTGTTTATTCATTGCACTTCCAAATTCTGCTACGTTCTCAGTCAGTGCTAAGACATGGGTATAAACATAATGTAGGCTGTAATCACTACCTTGATTACAGATTCTCCTTAGGTGAATACTAATGTAATGTGACACTGTCTTAGTCATATAAGATTCAAATCCAAGATGTAAATCATGGGAAGTAGTTTCATCTTGTAAGATAAATCAAACAGATTTATGGATGTTGTAGGTTTTTCGGGTTGTTTGGCCGTGTTCTGAGGTCTTTCTTCCTAACGTTTTCCCAGTCTCCGTGGCTGGCATCTTCTAATAGGAGTTAGAACAGAATTTAATTTTTCTATATTTTTATATTCTGTATTTTGGGGCACAGATACAGACACACCAACCAAATAGGAGTGGTCTGCAGGGTACTTTTCCAGTGGGTGGACTTTCAACATACAGTAAAACTTCCTTCAGATCCTGGGTGGAGCTGGATTGAAACTTCTCCCCATGTCACTTGCATATTAGTTTCATTGCTTGATACCAATACACTGTCCCTGGGACCATCCATACAGTCTGCTCTACAGCCTCCGTTAATTAAATGGGCAACTTGATACCCTATCTGCGTACTTAGGGAAACAGCAGTTTGTCCCACTGCAGGTTCCCCCAGTTAGGACACCCATCAAGAATTATTGTCCTGATACACCTGGAGTACACCTGTTTGCTTTCATTTGGTGATTTAAAAAATATTTCGAGGGAAGCTGAATTATTGTTCCTAGCACATAAGCACAACAAAACTTTTGAGAGTCAACACAAGAGTCATCTTATGCCAACAGTCTTTGGAATCAAGATGTCTTATATTTCCTCCACCTTTTGACTGATGTGCAAAACATACACAAGAAAGGGGCAGAGAATACTGAACATAGAACTGCTCGGCTTCTACCAACACCTCTTTTCCTCGTTGATTTAATTCATTTTAAATCTATTCCATACTTTAATCCCTAGTTAATGCAATATGCATTTTTCCAATGGGATTCACCCACCAGTCAGCAATAGAAAAAAAAGACGAACACTTCTTATTATTGTTGTTGTTTTGTTGTTATTGTTGTTATTATTATTATGGTGGTGGTGGTTTAAACTTGTATGTGTTATATAATACTGTGCCTGTTTTTTTTTTTTACTTTCACAACAACAGTAACAACAACAATCAAAGAGTTTTGACTGACTGTGTCTGCCATTTCTGAACAATAATAAGGAAAAACCCAGGACAAAAATATTGTGGCAACTTGAAAAGTATGGTGAGGTTTCCCGGATCGACATCCACGCCTTCACACTGGAAACTTCAAGGTGCCCAAATATTTTGCCCTTGCGTTTCTTCCCACCCGTAATTTTGCCAACCCACTGAGCTGGATCGAGCACCCTGGATGACGATGACAGCAGTGTGAAATAAAGCAAGGAATGCTTGCATGGGGAGGGGAAAAAAATACGCATTCGATTCCACCACCAACACAGCAGCAGCAGCTCCCACCAAGCCTAAAAAAGAGGGAAAGTGTTTAGGGTTGCAGAAGTCAAAAGGCGACCTGGGGGGGTGTCGGCTGACTCACCTGGTTCATCTTGGGCATGACGGTCTTGTAGCCCCCCATCTTGAATTTCACCAGGTTGTAGAGCTCCTCCGGGTGACCCAACCACTTCTTTAGCAGCTCCATCCTTGGACACTCTGGGATGGCCCCCGGGGGGGGGGCAGAAGGCAGGCAAAGGGTCCCTAAGAAGGGGGGGGTGCTTCGTTTTCCTCTACCCTCCTCCTCCCTTTTTTCCTCTTTTTGCCCCACCACCCACCAAAACCAACGGGGTCCTCTTTCCACCTCCTCCCCTTCCACCCTCCTGCTTTGGTGGCCCCCCTTCCCGGGCCTTTTTGGGGTCCCCAATGGGTCCTTCCTTCCTTCCCTCCCGGGCGCCTCCCTTAAGGATGCTCTGGACCACCTGAAGCCATCCTCTCCGTCGCCCGGTCTTTCATCTCCTCCCTCTGAGGCGCGTCACCTAGCAGCAGCCAATCAGACGGCAGCGCACCTGGCCGCCGGGGCTGATAGGGAGGCTCGGGAGCCGCGCGGTGCTCGCACCAGGAAGGAGGCCACCAATCGGAACGCGCCGGGGCTGGTGTGACGGCCGCTCGGGAGGCTCCGATTGGCCAGGGCGCGCGCTCAAGGGCGGGGTTTAAAAAAAAGGTGGGGGGGAGCAAAAAAAAAGAGAGATCGTCTGGAAGTCGCCGGATTTTTTAAAGGGGCCGCGCGCCCTTTTTAAAGTCGTGGCTGTCTTTTCCCTGGGAGAGTCTTCTGAGGTTCCTGTTCATGCAAAAAATTGCTTTACGTCATGCAGTGTCCGTGTGCAATTCATAATGTTCTAGTGCAATCCGGTAAAATGCACATACGTGAACAGCATCATCAGTATATGACGTAGCACTATCTGTATCAGAGGCAATCTTAGTATTAATTCATAATTCTAGAATTACGGCATCCTCAGTCCTGTTAGTACTGTTATTGCTGTTGTTGTGTGCATTATTGCTATTGTTGCATCAGGAGGCTGTAAATAGGTAACCTCAAAGGAAGTACAGCTTTTTTACAAAAAGCTGATTTTTTTTTAAGTATCATTGATTTCAGCAGCATTCATTTCTGTTTAGTGCTTCTTATTTCCGAAGTCCGGTGACAGTTTTTGCTCACACTCCTATCTTGTGAAGTACATCTCAGTTATTTGTATTAAATAGATGAAGCAATAATTTAAAACATGGGTCAGAATATCAAAGAGGTACAAACTTGATCCAGACTCGTATATTTACAGTGTGCTTTTTATTTTATTTTTAACTTTTATTTTTAATTTCTCCTTTAAAAAAGACCCAAGACAGCTTACAAAAATTAGAAGACAGTGTTTAACTTAGTAACATTTAGTATATAATACTAAAAGGATCAATGAATACAATACCAAAAAAGATAAGCAACATCAAAACACATTCAATGCACTAAGGTTCAACAATACATGTAAAAACTCCACTTGGCAGCCATTCACTCAGGGAAAGTATGTCTGAAGAGGAAAGTCTTAGCCTTTTTGCAGAAGAAAAGCAAAGATGGGGCCAGTCTGGTCTCCAGTGGGAGAAAGTTCCAAAGTCTGAGGGCAGCAATATTCAAGGCCCTTTCCAGTGTTCCCACCGAACATATAGTTCATGTCCAGATGGCTTCAAGATAATCAGCAGCCCCATCTTGAGATTTACTAAACCTCAAAGCTACAGAATTTATCTTAAAAATTAAAAGAATTTTAAAAACAAACATATTTTACATCAATAGAGCAAACATATTTTTTTTTCATTTCTTCCCCGTATAATTTATTCTTTATTATCTTGGTATATTTCCTTATAACTTGTTTTGTTTCTTTTTCTGTTATTTTCTTGTAAAAAAAATAAAGTTTTTAAAGTTAAAACAATCTGCAAGCTTTCAAAACGAGGCAGAGCACGACAGCCATGGACTTCAAGCAAAATAACTTTCCTTCTTCCTCCAAGCGTGAGGAAGATACGCTGATCCGGTGTCTCCCCAGGCTGAGAAACATGAGCGCTGGCAATTAAAAAGGATAGCAGAGAGAGAAATATTCCCCGTTTTGAAACCAAAGACTTTCACAATCGACCTCTGCCCTAAACAGGTACTGTCGCAATGGACATGAAGGTTGCATTTCTTAGCATTTCATCAGTAAACAGGTGAAGAGTGCTGTTGCAATATATTGTCCACCTGGTAGGCCAGTATCTGGTTGAAAACCCTAGAATCATAGGAATCGTGGCGTTGGAAGGGCCCTATAAGGCCATCGACTCCAACCCCTGCTCAAGGCAGAAATCCAAATCAAAGCAGATCAGGCCAGGCCTTCAGCCTAACAATAACAATAACAATAACAATAACAATAACAATAACAATAACAATAACAATAACAATAACAATAACAATAACAATAACAATAACAATAACAATAACAATAACAATAACAATAACAATAACAATAACAATAACAATAACAATAACAATAACAATAACAATAACAATAACAATAACAATAACAATAACAATAACAATAACAATAACAATAACAATAACAATAACAATAACAATAACAATAACAATAACAATAACAACAACAACAACAACAACAACAACAACAACAACAACAACAATAACAATAATAATAATAATAATAATAATAATAATAATA